TAGCTCAAACAAAACCCAAGCTAATTAAATATTGCTTCTTTTTTTTTTAACCAATAAAGGAACCCTCTTTCCTCCATCATGGTTGTTGTTTGGTCATTTCATTCATGTTCAACACTTAATAAACCCGTTAGGGCTTTTCTTGGCAAAGATACTGGAATAGTTTGCTGTTTCCCTCTCCAGATCATTGTACAGATGAGGAAACTGAGATAAACAAGGTTAAGTGAATTGCTCAGGGTCACACAACTACTAAGTTACTAAGGCCATATTTGAACTCATTAAAGATGAGTCTTCCTGATTCCAAGCCCAGTGCTCTATCCACTATGCCACCTAGCTTGCCCTTCTCCATCACAGTTACTCTTTTTATTATGTAATTAATTTTGTAATTAAGGAATATACACCATGGAAAAATGAAAGCAATCATAAAACAAAAGTATAAACTGTTTTGGATATGACGCATACCCAGAGTGACCTCAAGCCCTCAATGTAATAATACATAACTCTTCTTCACTTGGCTGAAAAGCATCTCATACCACTCAATGCAGTCCAGAATCTGATGAATATCTCTTTAGAATTCTCTTCATGTTTTCATCCAGATAAGACTTTCTTCAAGCTCTTAGGAAACAAACTAGATGTTTAACTTTGTTCTTTTTTAAAAGATCTCATAAAACTCCCCCATCCCATCTCAGCTTCTCATAAAGACTTCACAGAGTTTTCTTTAAAATATACCACACACTTCTGAAAGGGAAGAAATTTCACATCACTCTCTCTCTTTCTTCTCCATAGATCCACACACCTCACAGATAGAACACATTTTCTCCCTGATTCCACAAGAAGATACATTGCAAAATAAGATATTTCTCAGATTTATTCCAACTGATAACCATATAAAATGCTTTTCTCAAAATTCCATTGGGCTCTTAATGACAATGATTTCAGGTGTTCAGTCTGGCAATCACAAAGGACATGGCTATTGGGCAAATCCCTTCTCTGGGTTTCAAGTTTCCTCCTATAAATCAATGAGGATCAGACTATTTACCTCTGCAGTGTTTTTCAGCTCTATGGCCTATGACTTTTGATGATTTAGGAGAGAGTGACATTCAAGGATGTGGCTGTGGACTTCACCCAGGAGGAGTGGAGCCTCTTGGACCATCCTCAGAAGGCGTACAAGGGGGTCATGCTGGAGAATGCCTGGAACCTACTATCCCTGGGTAAGGACACTTCCCCTGGTAACTCTGAGTCTGCAAGCAAAGGGGACATCTTCATTCCCTAATGTGCAGGGTTTGGAGGATCTATCAATTATTAGAGAGAGAAAATATTAGTCTCCTGTGTCCAAGAGACAGACCCCTCATGCTGCCTAGTTTTCCTAGAAGAAATCTTTGCATTCTGTGATAGGAACCAGAGAGTTTCCTTTGTTGCACCTGATGCTGTCTCTTACCATTTCTAGGTAGCTTCAGGTCGGAGATCCAATTGGTGTGGAAGAATCTCAGACGTGCAACTAATCTCAGGGAGTTATTTGGTCTAACCTCTAGCTGGACGTGAATTTTGTCTGCCAAATCTCTGAGAACTGCTCAGGCAGCTTTTCCTTGCAACCCCTTCCTCTTTGGGATGGGCCTAGTATTTGGAATAGTCTTCTATTTAACAAGCAGACATTGGTAGCTCATAGCTCTTACTTGTAGCCAGTGTAGCACATTTGTCCTTCATCTTCCTTCCTATTACCCCAAAATTCCCACAAAGATGGTGGGACAGGAAGCGAAGGGAATAGGCATTTATATTCACCAGCTATTTGCCATGTGCCTGGAAAAGTGATTTCTTTACACTATTATGTTACTTTATCTTCACAATAACCTTCAAAGTTGGGTGATATTATCCCCAATTTACAGTTGGAAAACTGAGACAAACAGCTGTTAAGTGACTTGTCCAGAGGTACCCAGCTGGTAACTATCTGAGACAGGATTTAACCTCAGGCAACCCTGACTCCAGGTCCAGGGCTCTCTCTACTGCACCATCAGCTGCCTCTGATTTCTAGACAATGGAAACTACACAATGAGTCTATCCTTCTATGAAGAAGGTACACAAGATCAAATTCTCTGACTCCAAACAGGTTCCATGATTTTTCCCCCACCTCTCACCCAAAGGGGCAAACACTTCCTGAATGAACAGTACACAAGGTTTCTATAGGTCTCAGGAAGTGAGGAGCCAGTACAGGAGGACAGGGCAAAGGGTGATTCATCAAGGTCCCTGGAGCTGGGGCACAATTACCCTTTTACCCAGTTTGGGCGTTAGGAGTTTCTGCCAGAACGGAGCATAACAGGATGGGGGGCAGAGGGTTTGGCTGTTTCTCAGAACAGGTACAACACATCCCATTTTGGGTTACTTGCAACACAAACTCTGATGGGTCAGTATGTGTGACCAGAATGGAGTGATTCTCAAAGTGGAGCAGCTCTGTATCTACACTCTTCTCTCTAAAGTGAACTAAATTACAAGTTTCTCTCCATGCTCATCCCTAACTGACTCCCATGCCCAGGGCTTCCAGTTCCCAGAGAAGATGTGGTCTCTTATTTTGAGCAAAAGGAAGCACCATGGATGCTGGAGCAAGAAGGCCTGAGGAGCTGCTGTCTAGGTGAGTGAGGTGAAAGCAAGTATATGAGACCTGTGATTACAAGAGGCTGCTATGTGTTATGGTGAAGCAAGTGCTAGATTTGGGGGCAGGAAGACCTGACTTGGAATTCTTTCTCAGATTTTTTTTTAGCTGTGGCTTCCTGGGTCATTCACTGAAAAATGGAGCCTCAGTTTCCCCATTTGTCAAATGAGGCGGTTAGACTCCATGGCCTTTCAGCTCCTTCTAGGGATAAATCTATCATCTTATAAGAAGTCATTATTTGGAATTTGGGGACCTGGAATCTTCTGAAAGTATCAAAAGGGGTTAGGTTCTCCAATATGAGCTCTTTCTTAGACCTTCAAGCCAACAAACATTTATTAAGTGCCTCCTGCATGCCAGACCCTTTGCTAAGCACCAGAGACATAAAGAGATACCAGGACATCCCTGGCTCTCTTGGAACTCACAGTCTGGTGGGGCTGACAACACTCCAACAAGTATGCAGATACCCACTATGGACAGGATAAATTGGAGCAGGTCAAGAGAGGGAAGGCACTAAAGTTAAGAAGGATTGAAAATGATTTATTGTAAAAGAGGGGCTATAGCCAGGGCTTCAGGGAAGCCAGGGCAAGTGTTCTAGGCAAAAAGGGTATTGAGAAAAACCCAGGGAGTCAGGAGGTGGAGTGTCCTGTTCACAGAACAGAAAGGAGGCCCATACCATATAGTATATATGGGGGGAAGTAGGGTGAAAAAAAGACTGGAAAAGCAGGAGAAGGGGAGGTGATGAAGGGCTCTAGCAGCCTGAGGGAGGATTTTATATTGGATCCTTTGCTGGGGAGCCAGAGGAGGTTGTTGAGTGGGTGGTGACATGGTCAGGTGAGAGTTTTAGGACAATGACCTTGACAACTGGGTTGAGGATTGCCTGACTGGGGGGAGAGAGGCAGCCAGAGTGGGCACTGAAATATCTGAGGTGTGAGGTGATTAGGGCCTGAATCAAGAAAGTGTCAATGGTGGAAGAGATGTCACACAAGTGGAATCACAGGACTTTGTTCCATATTGAATATGGGGTCAGGAGTGTGAGTGTGTAAGAGTTGATGAGAAGTGCATGATACTTCATCTCTGAGCCTGGATTATTGGAGGATGCCTGCCATAGCATTGGGAAAGTAGGACGATTTGAGGGTTGGGGCAAAAAGAATGAGTTTCACTTTGGATATGGTAGAAGGAGAAACAGGAGAGAGTTGTGTCACTAAAGCTTAGAGAGAAGAGTATCAAGAAAAAGGGGTGATTGACAGTGTCAAAGCCTGCAGACAAGTCAAGAAGAATGAGGTTAAAGAAATGACAATTTGAAGATTATTGGTAATTCTGGAGAAAGAAGGGTCAGTTGAACAATGAAGGTGGGAGCCAGACTACAGAGAGTTTCAAAAAAAGTAAGGGAAAGGAGTTGGAGACACCAGTTGTAAATGGTCATCTTTAGCTGTTTAGTTCTAAAAAAGAGGAAATAAATTGGACAGTATCTCATGGGGATGTATGAATCATTGAGGGTGTTTTGAGAGAAATGATTTTATCTGTGTCAACAGGGAAGGAGTCATTAGTGTGGGAGAGAGTGAAAATCAGTGAAAAAATGGATATACTGGGGGAAGAATATAATAGGCTAGATGAGGGATGGAATGGGATTATTTGCACACATAAAGAGATTTGTTTTAGCAAATATAGCAAGCAAGTATCTTCTGATACTGGGGCCAAAAAGGAAATAAGGGCTCTGATTTATGTGAGATAAGGAGAATAAGATAGCTCTTGATAAATGTCCAGTTTTTTCAATGAAGTAAGAGGCCTAGTTCTTAAGTGAGAAGGTGTGGATAGGGTTAGGGGTAGGGTTAGCCATTAGGGAGGGTTGGGGATGAATGAAAAGATTTGGAAAAGCTACTGTGGTGAGTGGCATGGGGAGTCAGCTTGGTAGATGTCAAAAGATTGCCTTGCCACAATGAGGGTCCAGCTAAGATTAGGTAGCTGAAATTTGTAATGGACCCAGGTGGCCTGATTTCATGATTTTCTCTCTCTCTCATCCAGGAGAACATGAGTTGGAATGAAGGCTGCTGTCTTACTTAGAAGTCGTGTGAGGCTGAGCTATACATAAATCATTAGCCCAAGTCCCTTTCCTGATCTCTATAGCTCAATCTCTGTCTGATTCTTGGAGACTCGTTGACCAAGTTCATGTAGTGACTATGACCTCAGTTTAGGGAGCTGGGAGGTAGAGACTTAAAGGTGTCCCATGGTATAAGACCCTTCAGGAGCCTAAAAGGGAGCATCTGTGATCTTCAATGTTGGGTCTGGTCAGGTTCCATCAGAGTTAGAACCTAATGCAAGAAAGAGACAGAACTATGACTGAAGCCAGAACATGCGTTTGATAATTCAGAGAGAGGCCAGAATGAAGGGATTGAAGTAGAGGTTAGGGTCTGCTGTCAGCCTTCTGCCCAGTCAAGCAATCAGTAAACACTGATTAAGCACCTTGTGTTTTAAGCACTGTGCTAAGCTCTAAGGGTACAAAGAAAGGTAAAAGAAAGTCTCTGCTATCAGGGAGCTCCCAACATAGTAAACAAACATGGAGATAGAGAAGAAGAACAGAAGATGAACCTTACTCTTAATTGATCTACTTGAAAAGAGATTGTTTTTGAATGGAAATACATTTAGTTCAACAGAGAAATGACAAGGAGTGAGGATAATAACAATCCGAGAAGGAGAACACAATTGGGGGGAAATAATCTAAATCAAAATCATGATTAAAATAATAGCTAGCATGTATAGTCATATGAAAAAAAATATTCTAAATCAATATTGATCAGAGAAATGCACATTAAAACACCTTGGAAGTACTACCTCACACCAATCAGAGTGGCTAATATCACCAAAAAGGAAAATGTTGGATATTGGAGGGGATGTGGGAAAACTGGGACATCAATGCACTGTTGGTGGAGTTGTGAACTGATTCAACCATTCTGGAGAGCAATTTGGAACTATGTTCAAAAGGCTATAAAACTGTGCATACCCTTTCGTCCAGCAATGCCACTTCTAGGTAGACATCCAAAAAAAGGGACAAGCACCTATTTGTATAAAAGTATTTATAGCAGCTCTTTTTGTGGGGGCAAAAAATTAGAAATTGAAGTGATGCACATCAATTGGGGAATGGCTAAACAAGCAGTGATATATGATTTTACTGGAATACTATTGTGCTGTAAGATATGACAAGCAGGATGATTTTAGAAAATCCTGGAAAGACTTACATGAATTGATGCATAATGAAGTGAACAGAACCAGAACATGGTACATCATAAGAGTAATATTGTTTCATGAGGAGCTATGAATGACTTAGCTTTTCTCAACAATGCAATGATCTAAGACAATCCCAAATGGTGAAAATTCACTGTTTTTAGCTCCCTAACCAGTAAATACAATGAACTGATGGTTATTATATAAAAGATTTATTTTTCTCCTGGCTCATGACAAGTAGTGTGTCCCATGATATAAGACTATGATAATGTACAATGATAAATGTACTTGGAAGTTAATTGCACAGAATGTATCTTTTTTTAAACAAAGTTTGTATTTAAAATCAATGTTGAAAGGATAGTATTTCTTCAGACATAACTTTCTTTTTTCTGCCAATGAAAAACCAGGTACGTTTTCATTGAAACTCTACTGAATGACTAATCTGTGTTGCCAAACAGTTCATTTGAGAAGCTGACAGGGAGGCGAATAATAACATAAGTAGAGGATAGGTTCAAATCTGAGAACAATCTTAGCATTGCAATGAGGCGTTCTTTAAGGTCTGTTTTTGTAGAACATTTGTAGGGGTCCATGATGGCTTCAATGTGGCCTCTACTGTACATGCAGAGCAATCATGGTTCAAAAGAGCCTGTTATCTCTGCTGCAAGAATGCAAACCCCTGTAACATCTTGATCTGGTGATTACAGCTTTGAGGAGATGTGATTACAAGGTAACCCAGGAATGAGAGGGCTATTGTGGTGCAGTTCCAAAGAGCCATTGAGGGTCAGTGCATGCTTGTGACCATTTGCACATGAATGTCCAACGTTTCTGGAAGTTTGGAAATAATTTGATGTTGAGAAATGGAAAAAAACATGTTACAATAGTCAGAAGCAGTCAGAGTGTGATGTTCTTATTGTAAGAACCCCAAAAGCATTATATGCCTGACCATAATGATTTGGAATCACTGCAAAAAGAATTCTATTATCATTGAAATTTGTACAAGCTTGTTGTCCCAGAGCATAAATATCTTAGCAACAAAAGTGGATGATTACTTAATACTTAAGGTGACATTAACAAATTTTTAGTTAATCCTTTGGGCAACTGTATAGAACCTCCAATGGGGTTTGTGAAACCATAAACGGGAAAGAGCTTCCAGAAGACTAATAATGAAGCATGCTCTCCACTTCTTTTCTGTGTGTGTGATGTGTTCATTTTATTTAATAATATCCATACCATGTTATTACCATGAAATGTCAATTCATTTTAAACATTAGAATTCCACAAGTGTAACAAAGCATTACTTAAATATGTCAACATTTGCATTAGGAGAATGCACCCATAATATGATAAACCATCAGATCTAAAGGACAGTAATGTATTTTTCAATTGGACATGACTCTTAGAGAGAAAACACAATACTGCACACATTTTAAGTCTCTTTACTGCTGAACAAGCAGTTCAAATACACATAAAACAGATGACATTTAAGAAACAATTTCAATATGGTAGCAGCAAAAATACAACTAAGCCATACCACTTGTTATTCTTATCTTTTACTAACTTCATAATAAATACTACTGTGTTAAGTAGCCTGGTTAACAACTATTCAAGGCTTATCTTAAATATAAAGAAGAAAATTCTTGCTACAATATTTTATTTCATGTTTTTCTTACAGATGTTCTTTTGGTCCTAGTCAAAGCCAGGCAGCCCTAGACACTGAAGTTTCCATCGTTCTACAAGATGAGGAAGTGTTTCCTGAATTGTGTTAAAGCAGCTTCCCATATTATATCCCCAAATATTTCCTGTCTTAAAGCAATAGGAGCTATGTCTTGGCCCTCTAATTTTTCAGTCATTAATTTTTGAGATTTGAGGAGTATGAATATAATTTATCCCGAGTAAGCTTCAGTGACCAGTTCCTTTTGTGCTAACTTAGCTCTCCTAATTCACTCTCTGATACTAATCAGTATACCTTGAATCACCTGGGAAACTCAAACTTCCATGAAAAAAAATCCCATCTTTAAAATATCATGATTGCTTGTCTCTGACATGTGCTGCTTTTTAGAACCACATATCCCTAAATGATTTATTTTTAAACATAAATAGATGACCTCAATGTGAGGTATCTAACTCTAAAACATCAGCATGAAGACAGCATCTTTCCTCCTAAGGTTTGGGTTTTACCCAGTATTCCCGATACATGGAGTACAATATACCAACAGTCATTGCTCCTACTACGAAACCTTGGGCTCCCACACTCGTGTGAATCAGGTGGACAGACATTTTAGTGTCCCCTCTACTCCTCAGTTTGAATAATCCATATGCAACAATAGCTGCAAAGCCTGCCATTCCAATTGGGACAAACGGTGCCTCTTTAGCTTTTTGAGCAAGTTTTGATCCCAAAGTCTCATCATAAATGGAGAGGGAAGCATCATTGTCTGCTGACATTGTAGCTGGTTGAAGAGCCTTCAGAACAAGATGAAGCAAAACCACCTTCCACAAGCAGCCAGTCACTTCAGCTTCACATCCAACCTTCCCCATCTATGTCACTTGTCCACTTCTTTACAAAAGGATGATAGACTCAAATTCATGTATGAGATACATATTTTCAGACATGGGAAAGACCATATGTTTTAAAAATTGCATTTATTATGAGAATTTTTTTTTAGTACAAACATTTTATTTTTTAATATGTTTTATTTTCTCCTATTAGACATTAAAACTTTTCAAACATTTGTTTAGATTTCAAATTCCAAATTCTTTCCATCTTTCCCCTCTCCTCTCCCTGAAATGGTAAGCAATCCGATATAGGTTATACATGTGCAATCATTATTACAAGGATTTCATTTTTATTTTAGCGAGCCTAGGCACTTAAAGACAATTTTAAAAAAAATAAGTAATGGCTAGCCCAAAACATTAATAGGCCAAGGGGCAGCAAGGTGGTACAGTTGATAGAGTGCCGGCCTTGGAATCAGGAGGACCTGAGTTCAAATTTGGCCCGAAACACTTGACATTTACCAGCTGTATGACCCTGGACAAGTCCAGTTGCCTCACAAATAAAATTTGTTAAAGGCCAGAATGAAATCTTTTATGCTTTAGATAAATACAAAAAACAGTACTGGTATTCTTCATATGACCTCAAATATTGCAAGAGAAAGGAATAAGATTGAAAGCTATTACTAGGGAAATTACATAATACTTCCAGACATGAAAGATTATGAAATAATTTGAATATTTAGCATATGTGCACCAAATGGCATATATCTAGGGAAAAAAATTTGAAAGTACAGATGATGAAAAGGAAAGATTGAAAGTGGAAACAGTCTGTCTAGTACTATGGACAGAGCATGCTAAGTCATGGGTTTGAGTTCTTGTCTCTGTCTCTGGGATTTCAGTCAGTTCACTCAGCCTTTCTGAACTTGTGGCCTGAGTTGTGAAAGTGATAGTAATGCTCTGCCTCTGTCACAGGTTTGTTGTGAGGATCCAATGTAATTGTGTGTGAAGCTCTTTGTAAATTAAATCATCCTTGGGATGTGAGCTAATGGCATTTTGATACAATTTGTTCTGCTAATTTGAAGACTTGAAGTTTGAAGACTTTTCTCTTTACCTGGGGAAAGAGAATATAAAGGAATTTATGTTCTGCCAATGGAGGGAAGGGGAAATAATTACACATTTTATTGCTTGTTTCTTTCCGAAAGAGACATGAGACTGGAAGTGAAGGAGACTATGGCAGAGCTAAGTCTTTCTGTGGAAGAAATTCAGGAGCAAAGATCCATGGATGATGGTCCCTGTGACATCACTTGGGGAGAATTCTGTGCTCTACATCAGAGAATCCACACTGGAGAGAAACCTTATGAATGTAATCAGTGTGGAAAGGCTTTCACGAACAGGGCAAGTCTGGCTCAACATCAGAAAATCCACACTGGAGAGAAGTTGTATGACTATAATATGTGTGGAAAGGGTTTTACACCGAGGTCCTGTCTTAAAATACATCAGATAATCCACACTGGAGACAAATCTTATAAATGTGATCAAAGTGGAAAGGCTTTTACCCAGAGGTCTTATCTCAGTGTACATCAGAAAATCCACACTGATGAGAAATCTTATGAATGTAATCAGTGTGGAAAGACTTTCCGAGGCAGCTCCAGTCTTGCTCGACATCAAAGAATTCACACTGGAGAAAAACCTTATGAATGTAATCAGTGTGGAAAATCTTTCTTACTGAGGGCTCATCTTGCTAAACATCAGAGAATCCATACTGAAGAGAAACCTTATGAATGTAATCAATGTGGAAAGACTTTCAGAGGTGGCTCCAGTCTTGCTGAACATCAGAGAATCCACATGGGAGAAAAACCTTATGAATGTAATCAGTGTGGAAAATCATTCCCACTGAAGGCTAATCTTACTTTACATAAAAGAATCCACACTTGTGAGAAACCTTATGAATGTAATCAATGTGGAAAGGCTTTTAGAGACAATTCCACTCTTGCTAGACATCAGAGAAGCCATACTGGAGAGAAGTCTTATGAATGTAATCGATGTGGAAAGGCTTTTGCACTGAGAGACTCTCTTAGAGTACATCAGAAAATCCATACTGGAGAGAAACCTTATGAATGTAATCAATGTGGAAAGGCTTTTACAGTCAGGGGCCTAAGGAACCCTTGAGGACATTGCCATTTCCTTCAGCACAGAGTTTCTAGGGCATCACTCCCTTTTCTAGTGGAGGAGGTGTTACAGTGCCCCTCACTTCTAGGATTATGTTCCCACTGGGCTCAAGGGCCTCTATATATACCTCCCAGAGGGTGACATGCCAGCTTGCCCAACAATGCTACTACATGATGGTTGGTGAGATGATCATTACCCGGGACAGTCATTTTGACCAAAAATGGTCATCTTAACTTTTACCAAAAATATGATCTGACCTTTTAACCAAAAATGGTAATAATACTGATTTTAAA